GAACTCTCAGCTCCCTTGCACCATTTCTGCCAGCATGCCAACATGAAGATGATCAACTAAATCTCTGAATCTGCAAGCCAGCCCCAATTAAATATAATAATTGCATAGTCATGATGTCTCTTTACAGCAATAGAAACCCTAACTCAGACAGAACTTGTTACCAGGGACTGGGGTACTCATGTGATATACCTGATCATGTTTTTGTTTATATGAATTTGGACTTGTAGTACTTTGTGTTAGGAAAACATTGGAATGCTTTAAACATTGCTTAATGAGCCATACCAATAGGAAGAGTGTTGCTGACGGTGATTTAAGTTGTGGGGCCTGGCTTGAAAGCTTTCAGTGGAAAAGAATTTTTGTATGTGGCCTACAGATAATTCTTGTGATATTGTGATGAAGAATGTGGCTGCTTTTGCCCTTGTTTGAAAGGTCTGTTTGAGGCTAAAGTGAAGAGCTTTGTTTTAATTTTCTTGACAAAGGAAATTTCAAAACAGCCTAGTATAGATTCTTCCATGTGGTTATTGCTCTAATGAAGATTTATAATGAAATGAACCAAGATGAGCAAGTAAAAATACAAAATGCGAAATTTGAGGAGAAAAGGAGCACCAGGAAACGGAATGGAGCCAAGTCCAGTGTTCAAGGAGATAAACAGATAAAGAAATGGAATAAAGGAATTGCTTACCTCAGGGAAAGATCCCATAAAACTAAGCTTCCTACTTGTGAAAATGAATTCAAGAAAGGCTTATGTCCAGGCCTGGTAGTACATGTCTTTAGTACCAGCACTTAGGAGACAGAAAAGGCAAATTGCTAAGTTTAAGATCAGTCTGGTCTACAGACTGAGTTTTAGGACAGCCAGACTTAGGCAGTGAAGGAAACTATTGAAAACAGAAAGCTGTTGAAAATATAATAAACAACGGGGTCATATTCCAGCCCCAGGAAGCAGCATAACTAAGCATCTTCAGCCACATGGTTCTGGCTTTACAGTAGAGGATGGAATAAAGGGGTTATGGAATCTTTCTTTGTAACTAAGAAAAGTCCCTGTTGCTAGATATGTGTCAGGGATGTCCCTGCATGAAGGCCTTACATAGGCCATTGTGTGAAGCTGTGAAAATGAAATTTGGATTGCCTTGGTGACCACAAGATATTGGAGATGCAAGAGCTGAGGAATACCTGCCAAGAAGAGCTGTTAGCAGGGAGTGGAACCAGCCCAAGATAAAGAAGTAGGTTGCAAACTACAAAGCTCAAAGCAGTTGGAGGTCTGAAAAACTCTTAGATATCAGAAATGGAGATTCAGAGTCTGGGGCTTTCCCTGATGGTTTTGGGTTTGCTTTGGTACAGTATGTCTTCACTATGCTTCTTTTCCTATGTCTTGGAAAGATAATGCATATCCTGTCCCATTATGTATTGGAAGTATGTGATCTGCTTTTTTATTTTGATTTTATTGGAGATTAGATTGTATGAATCTCAGAAGAAACTTTGACCTTTAGCCTTTTAAATACGCCTAAATTTGAGACTGTTATAGACTATGGGAACTTTTGAAGTTGTGTTTAATGCATTTTCGCATTATCATATGACTATAAGACTTTGGGACCAAGGAATGGAATTTGGTGGTTGTCCTGCAGCTCACTCTATAGACCAGATTGGCTCGAACTCACACAGCCTGAGAGTCTTCCTGAGTGCTGGACTCAAAGGCATTCACCACCACCCCACGAATGTTTTATTTTAATTACCTTAAGTTTATAAAATACTATGGGAATAAAAGATAAATTTCCATGTAGAGCGTTTACTACTACTAGAGATATATCCACTTCATCTTACACTAAGGGAACTGATGTGTCTTGGGGCTGAATTAAGACTCACAATCATATTTCCTGAACATGACTACATGACATGATTTTCATCTGTAGCAAAAATCCGTAGCCAGTGTGGGCATTGTACCAGTGGCAAAGGTAGTTTGTGCTGCTCCTCTTAGGGGAGCTGCAGAGACCCTGGCCTCTAGGTGAGCTCTTGCCAGAACATGTCTCACAGTACATTTGCCACTCTGCAGCGTTCATCTAAGTCCTATCTAGGAAATAGTTGGCACATGTAAAAATTTAGTCTTGAATTCAATTGTACTGTTCTAATTAACTAATATTATGTATGCCAAGTTTGTTTAAAAAAAGACATAATAACTGAAGGTTTTGAATTTGGGGTTGTTTTCCATTCAAATCATTTTTCTCTTCTCTTTTTAACTGTTGAACTTGGGTTGTAAATAGTGATGTAACTCATAAAGATATTTCATTCTAGTATTATGCATATTAACTGCTTCATCCTCCTATCTTCTTCTTTCCCATTAATCCCACTTGTTCTCGAAGTTCTGTGTGTCTACTTTCATGGCCTACACACACATATAATGAAGACCAAGAAATTAAATAATCATATTTAATGAAAGAAAGATAGTTTTCAAAGGATGAAGTACAAATGGAAAAATATTCAAAATACTTCACCAGCAGAGAAACACAAACTAAAAAAACACAGATAGTACAGTTGATCAAGCAAGAGGGTCAGAATTGAGAAATGTTTTGGTTAATATTAGAGGTTACACATTATTGAATTAAACTACAACAGCAAGAAAAGAACTCTGAGAATTTTCTAATGAAATTACATTAAATTAATAGTCTTTACATAACAAAATTATCTGTCTACTGCTCATAGAATTGGAGAAATACTTCAGTTAAAGGATTAATATCTACAATATATCATGAATTGCAAAATATATAGGCATACATCATGAACAAATGAGTCAATGATGTGCACAGATAGTTCTTAAAAGATGAAATAGAGATGGCCAGCAGATATTTTGTTAAATATTCAGTGAATATAAGCACAAATTAAATCGTGAGTTTCTGTGTCATTTTACTTTAAATAGCCATTGTTTAAAAAAAAAAAAATAACACCATAACTAGGTGGGACTAAATATCAGTAAAGACAAGACATGCATTCATGGTACTGGAAAAGAAGGTGGGGCTTCAAAGGAAGTAAGAAGGAGGACCATAGAGTAGAATGGAGAAACCCAGGGCACAAAAAAGGCAGTAAAGAAGGGGATGAGTGCTTGGGAGGAAGAAATCATCCCAAAACAAAAATATATATTTCACATATGGAAATCTTTTTTCACTTTGTCAGTTAATTTAAAAATAAAGTAAACAACAGATACTGAGAATATCAGGAGAAAAAGAAGGTTTCTTTGCAGCTTTGGGTAATATAAATTACTCTGGCCACTTTAGAAACCAGTATAGAGTCCTCAAATCCTGAGGACAGAGTTGTCAAATAATCTGTTTGACAACAGAAATAAGATTAATGCAAGGACTTTGTGTACTCATAATCCACTGAACTGACTCTATAAGTATGCAAAGTTAGTCTCTTAAAGTTTAAAAGGAATTGACTGACAGTAGCATCCTTTGCTCCAAGACTAATAAGCATTTAGACAAGTCAAGCCACCAAGACTGAAAACCTCCTAATTATTCCATCTGATTCAAGCTCATCTCTAGGAACAGAGAATATTAATCAGGAAAGTGCCTCCATAGGACAGGCCTGTGTTCAATCCTGTCTATTGTACATTTTCTTGGCTGGTTGATATGGAAAGGTCCAGCTAACTGTGGGTGTGCCACCCCTGTGCTAGTGCCTTTGGATGCTGTTAGAATCCAGGCTGAACAAATCATGGCTATTACTTTAGAAAGCAGCATTCTTTCAGGGCCTCTGCTTCAGTTTCTACCTTCAGGTTACTGACCTGACTTCCTTCAATGATGGACCAGAATATAGAAGTTTAAATGAAATAAATCCTTTATTGCCAAAGTTGCTTTTGGTTGTGGCATTTTATCACAACTATGGAAATTCTAACTAAGACACAGAGTAGCAAAATTCTCACCAAGAAAAATCAGCCCTAACAGAGTAGCAAAATTCATCAACAAAAAGTATAAAGCAGCAACATTCTAATAAATCCTTGGAGAATATGACCAAGCAATAGAACCCCTGGGAACCCCTCTAGAGTCAAGGCTCTTGCCAACCCTAGAATGGCTCCCTTAATTAAGATATATACTTCTCTGCTCCCATATCCATCCTTCCATTATCCCAACCATCCCATTCCCCCAAGTTCTCCCTATTCTCCTCAGATATTTTTTTTCTTAAAAATAAAGGAGTCCTAGTTTCAGTTCTGTTGCTATAATAAAATCCCCTCACAAAAAGTAACACTGGGAAGAAAACATTCATGTTAGAATTATAGATTAATATCCGGCACTGAATCATCAAGAAGACAATAACTTGAAGCACCTAGATCAGAATATGCTGAGTCCCACAGAAGACTGGGCATTCGCATATCAGAATACATAATGAAAGCAATCCTCCCATAGACATGGCCAAAGAGTAGCATGAAACAGATAAGTCCTTATTACAACTCTCTTACCAGGTGGTTTTACATTGTGGCAAGTAAACTCAAGAAAGTAACCATTACCAGAAGGAAGCTACAAATATCTAGTTCCAGATGCCAATGGTACATGGGGCAGCTACTGCAGCAAAAGATTGTCTAGCCCAATGTGTTGTTAGGCTAAGATCCAGAAAGTCTCTGCTGTAGGTTAAGGCTTTTTGTTGTATAATGCACTGACTCATTTTGTCCATAGCCAATAATGTGCTAAGATACAATGTGGTATCATTTAATAGCTCTGCCGCATGCATTTTCTGGTAATTAGCTCTAGAAGGTTTGCAAATGTCTCGCTTAAAATTTTGGAAAACCTCTTTATGATATGAGATAGCATTGTGTGCTTCAATCAGGAAGCATACACTGCCTGATTACTTTTGATTCTACAAATGAACTTTATCTCTGTGCATTCAATCATTATAGGTTGAAAAATAGCAATGCTGCATTTTTAAAAATTTCTTTGTTATTTTGTAGACATTATTCCTGACAAGGTTTTGATATGGAAATATAATTGTGCATAAAACATTTACGTATTCCATCTTTCTTTTAGAAACATCCTGTACCATCTTGATGGGAAGACAAGCCAGTTTTCCATCATCAAGGAGGCTTGGGAGCAGTGCAGTTCGCTGGCCTCAAATGAGACCATTCAAGAGGCCCTGTCCAATGTGCTGAATAGCATCCATTCAGCTCAAGTTTTCCTCAAAGCAGGATTGAATGTGTTTGAGAATGTCTTGGTTGACAAGAACTGAGAAAATACACAGCATTTTAAAAGTTTGTTACAAGTATAAAAACAAAATCTCTAAACTGACCAGGTATTTGTGTGTGTGTGTGTGTGATCAAAAACTACCCCAATTTTAAAGCTATTATGTGGCATATTTTTAAATGTACATAAGAAAGAACATTTTGCACATTTTAAATATTTTTATATTCCCATCTTAGTATATAACAGCAATTATTGAAATAATACCCGAGATTTATCTATTACAGAGAAATATGCTGTATTTTTGTAAATAAAAAGCTCGTGAGGGGGTTAAGATATTCTTGGCATTACCATTGCTGTGGACAGAATGTGGAGGAATGCCAGAATTCTCTCTAATAAAATCTCCAGTGACTGAGTTTCTATGTTAGACATGGAGACCTGATAAATTTTCAGACAAATGTTCAAGTAACTGTTCAATATGAAGAAATAATGCATTTTGAATGAGGGATTGATGTTCAGAACCACTTTGAATGTTTCTATTTTATAAAATGAAGTTCCTTTTCTTGACACAACTAGATGTAGTAATGCACTGGTTATGAAGTTGAATTTTGTTAAGTACTAATGAAAAAAGAGCCATAAACATTCCTTGGGGAAACTCTCAAGAAACTGGAGAGAGCAATTTAAATGCAAATTCTTCCTAAGGCTACACGTTTTGAAAATCTTAAATTGCCTCAATTGATGCTATGTGACAAGGGACAGCACATTCCTTCCGTTCCCTTCTGTGGTTTCTGATGGAATGACGGAAGCAGGGAATCGGTTACAGGAGGGCATCTCACATGGCTGTCCCTCCTTACATCTTTCCCACAATCCCTTGCTATAAAATCATTTTAACAGAATACTGTCTAACAATATTGGGAAAATCTCACAGTTTTTCTTTGAAAATTCAAAATATCATCAAATACATTATTTTTGCCAGTAGTAAATTACTGGCCCCCCAAAAAAGCCCTACTATGAAAGAGATGTCTTTTTGTCAACAAATATTCTAAATAGAAGAAGAAAATTTATCATTTCTCCCTTTATTTTCCTTCATAGTGGCTAAGATAAAAACAGCAAATAGGCATGCCACCATGGTATCAAAAATTTAAGTGCTTTAGAGCCTTTGTCTCTCATGTAAGAGATGGATTTTGTATTTGGGCATTGTTAGTCAGAAGCTCCACAGTCCATATCCCTTCAAAGAAAAACATTCTTCCTGGTGATGGAAAAGCAAAGCTTTTACCCTACCTTGTCAACACATTTGTTTTAAAATATTCTTCTCATACTGAGTAATGTAGTTTTCCTTTGAGAGTAGACTATGAAAATATTTCTTATGACATTCTCTACACATTTAAATCCTGAAACAATTGGCATTACACATGGCCAGGAAAATGTTGTGACTATCTTTGTTTGTCTAGGACTTTACTTCTTTTGGATAAAGTAAGGTTAGTTTAAAAGAAAGCTGGAGTTGAGAGAAAAGAATTAACCATCATTGACTAAATAATTTATAAGGGGCAGCTCTTTCCACCATTAGTAATGATTGTATGCTCAGAGCATATAACTGGGATAATATGCTAGATAATTTAGACAAAAACACATATTCATCTGAAGTGCCTATGTATGAAAATTTTTATATGAAAAAATAAACTTCCTTTTAGCATATTTAATGTACTTACCTAATGTTATTATGTTGAACATACTTGTTTGAGAATGTTTGCCACACTGCTGAATGTGTATAGGAAGGCATCACAAGGGTCTAGGTACTGCTTTCCTGGCCCTATTTCTTTTCCATAGTCTGCAGAGATGAGCAGAAAAGGGGTGACAGAATGATTAGACTGCCAGAGAATCAATCCTATGTCAAGGGTGTTCAACACTGAATCATGGTAATGTACTTATTTGTATAAAGTTGAATTTAAAACAAAGAATGACAAAATACTTTTGATTTCATAGATTATAATCTTAGATCAAACCCTAAATTGTTTTAGCACAATAATTAAAAAAGTATGAAGAACAGAAAATCACTGTTTTCTAGATATTTATTTAAAGACTTTGTACATAGAAATAACTAATCACATGTAAGTCCTGTATTACTTCCTGATAAATTTATTGTATTAGTTCCTTGAAAACCACAGTTAACACATTGCTAACCTATTTTATTAGATCATTTAAAAGATCAAATGAAAAGATAAAATTACATTTAAAATAGTTGTCAATGAATTCTAAAGATTCTGTTCCACATTTTGGTTTTAAGGGAGCCCTGACCCTTGTGACATAGTATTACAGCTGTGACATGCTTACCTCAAGACTCTTTCAGATGCATAGCATGTTAACTTTTTCCTGAACTGCCAAGAGAAAAAAGTACCAAAAAGGTAGTGATGAGTGGGATGTGAACCAGTAGTATTTTCTAATGGATATTGAGACTTCTAAGTATCAAGTACTTCTCAAAGTACTTCATATATAATTGGTCCCAGGAAATAACAAATCATATATGTTCCATTTGCCAGGAAAATGTGGAGAATATGTGCTGTGAAACTGCCCAAGCAGGAAATCCAGGGATATTGTCGCAGTACTAGAGACAAAAGAGAGCCTAAGTGACAGTCAAGACTAAGGTTGAACATTCTGCCTCAATCGTAAAAGCACCACTATCCCTATCAGATGTAGTACCTGAGACCGATGATGAAGAAGCACACATGTCAGCATCCATTCAGAGAGGGGCTAAAGCTACTTAGATTTTCATCTTCTTGTCTAGTGTGCACTTCTTGTCTCCCAGAAGAGTTATAGATGGCCTATTCAGTGAATTCTTTGTAACTAGACACCATGTCAGATGCTGCTGTGGGCCAGGAACATGATTTTAATGCTAGGCAAGCTCACATTTTGATCATACTTGACAAAGTATTCCCAGTCAATCTGGCCCCATCATATGAAGTCTCAGAAGTGACACCGGAAGTCAGGAAGAGGCTGAGTGAAATGTTATTACAGAGACCTCTTAGCTGGGAACATCAACAGTCTAAATTAGTATTTTTTGAAATGTGAAATTAGGGGAAGAGTTTTCAGGATATCTATTCTCAGACTCAAAATTATCTATTTTAATAATTTCTAAACTGTATCCATCCTATATCCTGGTAAAATATCTTAAAAGCGTATGAAAATATAAAAAAAAATCACATTGATGAAGGATTCCAAAGATTTTGAAAATGCCATCATTAAAACCCCAGTAAGCAGCTTCAGAGTCGATTTGGCAGCAGGAACACTTGAAACTCAATTGTGAGGACCTGAATTCAGTTTCCAGCTCCTACTTTAGGCAGGTCATAAATGCCTGTAAATTCTAGCATCTAGGGATTCAGTGCCCCCTCCTGACCTGCAGGAGCATTGTGTACATATTCATGCATGAACAAAATACCCCCCAAAATGTAATAATACAAAGGATGACCTATTTTATCAGCAAAAAGAGAAGTCAGATGTAGCCAACATCTATGACACCTATGGCAGGAACTGGTTTATAAGTGATTTACTTTTGTTTTATTTTTCTTCCTGACTATATATAGCAATTCATTTAAGAAGAAAGAAACAAGTTTAATGAGACATGTTCAGAATTCTGAGGTTAATAAAAGTGTTGTGCTGTCTTTTTCTCCTCAGAGAGACCCTGTAATGTCAACGTGCATGCTTTAGACCAGGCAAAACAGAAAATTCAGCTTTTTTGATTTAAAAACATAATGTGATCTAACATTTTGATGTGAGCTTCCCACAAAAGACCAGCCTCAGGTAGTTCACCAGTAGCCTTGGTAAAATCCACTTCACCATGATTGTAAAAGATCTAAAAGCAGCATACATAATCCCCAATGACTGTAGCCCAACAATGCTGTGCCTGTGTAAGTTGAGAAACCATGAAATCTAAGGACATAATTATATCATACCAGGAAAACTAGGCTTCAAGTTATAATTTTAAACCAGAACGCACTACTCTCATAATACCTCCTCCAAATGTCTATACAATTCACCAAGGGAAAAAAAATAAAACAACAACAAAAACAAGTACTTTCATATATGTCTGTAGCTATATATCAGACCTTAAAACTCCAACAAACTTCTTAAATAACTACATAGCATGGAGAAGTTTTGTTGGCTATAAAGATAAGTGTCACACAAATAAGATATGTTACTCTCTTATTAGTGGTGAGTCAGCATCCTGACTCAGTTTAAAAAAAAATGAGTATTTTCAGAATAAATTGTTAGACTTAGCCAATAATGTTCTTCTGAGACACTTCATACTATATGTAATTAATTCCTGCAAGAATTAAGCTTTCTCTGTGGATTATATTTTGTCATATTATTGGTTTAGTATGTTACTGATATGCACATTTGCTTAAGAGAAAGGAATTATTTTAAACTGCCAATACATGGGCTGAGTAGAAGGGAAAAGTCTCACATATTTAAACAAATTACTCTTCAACCTGTTTGCATACAGGACTGAGAATTCAGCCTAGGAATAAGAAAACAAGCACATAATATTTGCCTCACTACACAAGCAAATTCAGATCAATTCCTTGAGTTTAAATGGCAATCTTAAAAACTGCTCATTAGAGTTTGCTGTTCTGAAATCTGAAAGAGCATTGCAGAGTTCAAATACTCTATTAAGTGTGACTACCATACAGTTGACTGGATTTGCTTTATTGAACTTTGAATGTGAAGTGACATAAGTTTGAAGAATTTCAAACTATATTGTAGAATGTTGCTGGTCATCACCATGTTAACTCAGAAATACACTGTGTTTTCATTCTAGATAAACTCTAGAAATTATATTAGACATTGCCTTGCTGGAAGAGTGGTTTTAGGATTAATCTACTTAACACAAGTCTTTCTGCTAACTACCAATAGTTTACATTAGATAATACCATTCCATTACCCTTCAAATATGTAAAATAACAGTGCCTTTAACATAGAGAGGTTTTTAAGAATCCTGAAGTGCAGCTTACTGTGAGGTGACTTGTTTCTTAAAGGCATTTATAATTTCATCTTCAAACTGGATCAGGATTTTAAGAGCAAAGGAATAAACTAAGGCATATTTAGAACCTGCTGTTGTAGTATTTCTGGTCATATTTTATTTTTGGACAAATAGTTACAAAGCTTGCAATAAACAAAATGGTGAAACTGAGCTTTTTTAGCCAATATCCACTCTGCAAAGCCAAAGAAACACATGGTTGTTCTCCTTTCTCATATCTAGGAGTCAGTCAAAAATTAAAGTACAAGCCACCTATTGACAGCCTAAGCCCAGGGAAATCGTTAATGACTACACAAAAAACCTAACAGTATTCACTCTTTCTTTGTTGATAGGTTAAGCCAATAAGCCCAGAAGTAGCTTTTCTCAGCAGAAGACAGATTTTATTTCCTCAGGTGTACCACGTCAGTCAGAAAAAGGCCACACAGGTGTCTGCCTTATGCCATATATCATTGCAAACTCAAAAGATTAATATGCAATTATTATTATGAATGATTATGCTGCATTAATGTTGATTGTGGTCTTTTGTTCTAATTAAAGTGCAGACTTGGCATCTGTATAGAACTTTACTGAAGAAATTGAGCCAGAGTCCCTTTGTTAATGAACTACAAATATTTTTCAATCAAAATGTACAATTTTAATTACCTATGCTCTTCAATAATTATAAGTTTATAGTTCCTTCAAGGAATTGTATTTCATATGGGTCCATGCATGGGATAATGCCTGAGTTTCACCTTTGAGATTTCTTAGCCATTTAAGAATGTATTTTCTGTACCTACAGTATAATTTTATGAAAATTAATAATAATGATATTATTTGGTTCTATATGCTATGAATGGACCTTACTCTGAAATTTAGAACAAAACATGACTAATTTATAAAGATTATTTTCTTTCTTTGTATAGAGAAAGACAAATATATAAACAAACAAAATATTTCACTATACCATTGCAGCTTGTCCACAAAAAGGAAAATACCCAGATGGTTAAGTGTGGCTCATATAAGTATATTCCAAGGATGTTATAAATAATTCCATTTAGTAGCTAAGTCAGACTCTATTAGGTGATTGAGTGTGTACAATGCTAACAGAAGGGTTTAGTGGCAAATATATCCCACACATTTTAACTTGGTATTTGAAAAAGAATTATGTCTAGATTAGAAAAGCTTCCGAGGGCATTCTAACATTCTAATTTGTTTTTATAGACACCCAGAAAATTGCATGGCATTTTGATAATATTTATGTGGGCTTCCAATGTTCATATATATAAGTGTTTAGTATTTTTTAGCTTTTTTTTTAGTTCTGTTTCTAAAGAAACAACCTTTAAATGGACAATTTTTTTTTATAAATTTTATATATTTTTGAAGTGCTATAGTATCAAAAAATACAATCGTAGAATTGCAAATGAAAATAAGCAGATAAAAAATTATAGTTTCATGGGACAAAATGCAAAGGCTAATTTTACCAAATAAATGTAATTTAATTTAAAACAATCACCTCTCTGAGTATGCCATTAAGTATTATTGTTAGCTTTTGTTCAAGATAATCTTATTATCTTCTGTGTATGTTAAACTTCATTGCATAGAGATTGCTAAAGTCTCCTTTATTTTTAATGACATTAGTTTATGGGTGTATTTTAATGACATTAGTTTATAGGTGTATGTCTATATTGTCCAATTACTACATATGGTCGAATATCTACTTTCTCTTTGTGAATGTCCATACAAAACTGAATGATTTTTGCATGTTCTGAAGTGTGATCTCAATTCAGTATATAACCACTTTGTGTTACTTCAAATGATTCAATATGCAGCTTTTGATGTGATTAGAGTGATAAGAATGCATTGACTTTCCAAATATATGAAGAATGAGTAAGCATTTTATATTTCACTGGCTTAAATATTTGCTCATAACGAAAAACTTAGTACTATTAAATAAAAGTATCTTTAAAATAGCATGTTCTGATTCATAAATGCAATGGATATAAATATATAAAGTATCATTTTTAAAGCATCAATTTAAATATATAAATTGCAAATGAAAATGAATCTGTGTGCTTTTGTTACAAATATGCAGTATTTTAAATATATTATTGATGAGATATCTTTTCATAATGATTTCCACATCAAAATTGGTATTCCATTACCCCTTATTTAGGAAAGCCTGCTTAGAGTTTTATCATTCTTTGCTTTGGACTCTTTGTTTGAACATTCTGTTTTCATATCACACCATTTCAGGTTTCCATTGTGTGATGTATTCTAACATTGCATAACCACAACTTTACCCATTTGAACAGAGATTTGTTTTGTTCCCATAAAAAAAAATTTGTGAAATGCTGAAAGTTATTCATCACCTAGAAAATGATATCTTTTTGCATCCTCTAGCAAGTTTCATCCATTTATTAATTTATTCAGTAAACATGAACTAAGGGCCTCTTCTAGCCCAAGTGTTTTAAAAGTATCCCACACAGTGTGCCTTCTAGCTCTTCAGTCCAAAAATCATGTAACAATTTAGTTTCACATTAATAAGAGTTTTAGAGTCAGTCATGGTAGAGTAGATTACTGAAAACTGAACAGAGCAAATGTAGATGGAAGGTCACATGGTGGCCTCCCTGACCTACCATGTGGATCTTTAGAAAAAAATGTTCTTTACCCAGTGTTCTACTGTGTGGTGGTAGTTGTTCTCTATGATCTTACCAATGTGTAACTCTATGCTTACATAGGATGTTATTAATTGTGCCTTTTAATCTTTAGAGACTAATACAATAGATGCTATTTGTAGAAGGAGCTGTAGGCTGCGTTCCTGCCACCCAGCTCCTGGCTGCCTGGCCAGTTTATGCCCCGAAATAACAACACACAAATTGTATTATTTTTAACACTGCTTGGCCCATTATATCTAGCCACTTTTTGGCTAACTCTCACATCTTGACTAACCCATTTCTAATAATATGTGTAGCACCACGAGGTAGTAGCTTACCAGGAAGATTCTAGCCTACATACATCTTGGGCTGGAGCTTCATCGCGTCTGCCCCAGAGAGGAGAGGCATGGCGTCTGGCTCACTTCCCTTCTTCCCAGCATTCTGTTCTGTTTACTCCACCCACCTATGTTCTAATCCATCGGGCCAAGCAGTTTCTTTATTAATTAACCAATGAAATCAACAGATTGATATATGACACTCCCACATCATTTCCCTTTTTCTGTTTAAACAAAAAAAGAAGGCTTTAACTTTAACATAGCAAAATTACATATAACAAAACAGTTATCAAGTAAGAATTACAGTTACAATATTTATATCTATTTTATATTTTATAATAACAAAGGAAAACTATAACTAACCATTCTTCAACTCCATCAAAGACTCCAGAAGGATATAATATTACCTAAGTAAACAAGAAGTAAGAAACTTCCAAAACTCTAGAAGTGACAGAGACATCTCGCTGCCTGGACAGTCACCCAAAGTTCTTTTGTACTGCTGGGTCATCCATCTTTGGCCTTCAGGCCCATAGTATCCAGCAGACATTTCCATGAAACAGGAAATTTTAAAGGCAGTTCAGTCACTATCTGCTGTATCCTGCAGAATGTTTCGCAGACACTTTCATGAATCAGGAACCCCGAAATATAATCTCACCTTTAGGCAATTTTAGCAGTTCTCTCTTTGAGGGTTCTCTGTGTCCAGTTTATGCAACAGTCCAGGCAAGAGCAGTTTCTTGCCCAATGGCTATCAAACTCTATAAAGAGCCTCTTCGATGACCATCTTCCTCTTGAAGTAAATTGGTGCTGCCAGGAGCAGACGTGTCTCATTGTTATGAAAAACCCTAAGTTATTAAAATATTAAATGCCATATTCTGTACTCTTTGAAAGATATGAAGAATGTCTATCTAAAATATATCTATGAACATCTAGAAAATCTAACATGATTACAAGCTTGACAATTATTAATGATTATCCATTAACAACCTATATACATTACATTTTTACATGAACTACAAAATCACAATACCTTAGTCAAGGTCAGAAAAACATATACATATAACAAGATTGACCTTAAATTTATATAAAGCAAAATCTATACCAATGCAAATTATTCATATCTATATCATCTCCCCCTTTAAATGTAAAAGAACATTTATAAACAATATTTGGGAATATGGGCACAGTTTTTTCTCTCCAAACTGCTTTGTGCTGAATGGGGGCACTGTTAATCAGATCTTTCATGGTGTAACCTGTGTGCCAGGTTTATCTCAGTCGACAGTTAAGTGAAGTAATTTTTGAGGGTGTTTACAGCAACCTTTCAGGAGGGTGTGGTCTGTCATACTATATTGGGATAGAAGAAATCCACAGGGTTTCATCCTCTGTGAAAACAAAAGAAGAAACTCCTTTCCAAAGCATCATGTCCTTAGATCCAAATTTTAAAGTCACGGTATTTTTAAAATATCTATCTTGGATAAGTTCAGCAACATTTATAAACAAATATCTTTTAGGAGCTGTTGCTCCTTCCTTAGCATTCAAACAATTTAAAGAGAGCATAATAGCATACAGTATCAAGATTTTTTTTTTTTTTGTATTTTCCATCTTTATGTGGCTTTATTTAAACCTCTATTTCTTTTATTTTTACTTTTAACTTTTGGCTTTTTGAGACAGTTTTTCTGTATATCTTTTTCCTGGATCAGCTCTTGTAGACCAGGCTGGCCTCAAACTCATAGAGATCCACCTGCCTCTGCCTCCCAAGTGTTAGGACTAAAGGTGTACGCCACCACACCTGGCTCCACTAATGCTATTTTTAAAGCCCATTAATCTTGAGGGAAGTTTTATTGAAGTAAAAACATTGTCATGGCTAATTCCGTAATTTTATTATTGAATTCCATGCAATAGAGGGCAAAATGGAGAGTTAGATAAATTAATTATTCATAACTTGAAAACATACAGATATTGTATAATATGATAATATAATATGATGTGTGATTATATTCTCCAAAACAAAACATAAAGGGATGTTGGATTTTTATTAATGGCCTATTGTGCACTTAATGTCACAATCATATAATTTTTGTTCTTTATTTTTTTTGTGCTAGATTGCAGTTATTGACTACATACAACTGAATCATTCCTGCATCTCTAGGAGCAAGCTAAATTACTTAATCATGATATACAATCACATTAATGTGTTCTTGAATTCTGTTTGCAAGTATTTTAATAAGAAATTGTGTTTCTATGTTCATCAATGATACTGATTGACCTATATTTTTATTTTTCTTTGGACATTTGTCTAGTCTTGATATCCTGTTGATATTAGTTTTGTAGTAACAATTTGGAAATGTTACTTTACTTTCTAATAAACTGAATAATCTAACAAATATTGATGTTATATCATCTTTGAATTCTCTACTGAATTGTTCAGGTTCTGGACTTTTTTCAGTTTTAAATTACTCCAACTATGATATTGAATGTTATGATCCTATTTAAATTATTTATTTAATATTGAGATAGAGTGGGTACAAATAGTAAAGAAAGAAGCCAAAGTATCTTTGTTTACTGATGATATTTTGTAATGATGAGGTAAGCAGGCCTGCTTTTCGTCCCACTCGACTCCTACATGGTTAGTTTTACACCCAAAGTAACAACAACAGTCACAGTATTCTTTTAAACACTGCCTGGTCCATTAGTTTTAGCCTCTTATTGGCTAGCTCTCACATCTTGATCATCCCATTTCTATTAATGTGTGTAGTACCATAAAGTGGTGGCTTACTGGGAAGATTCTAGCCTATATCCATCTCGGGTTGAAGAATCATGGTGTCTGCCTCATTGTCTTCTTCCTCACAATATTCTCTTCTGTTTACTCTGCCTACCTAATTTTCTGTCCTAGAAAAGGGTCAAGGCAGTTTTTTATTAATCAATGAAAGAAACACATAGACAGATGTCCATCCTCCATCATTTCCCCTATTTTGTTTAAACAAAAAAAGGCTTTAACTTCAACATAGTAAAATTACATATAGCAAAACAGTTATCAAGCAATAATTACAGTTACAATATTTAGATCTATTTCATCTTTTATAATAACAAAGGAAAACTATAACTATAACTAACCATTCTTCAACTCTATCAAAGACTCCAGAAGGTTATAATATTACCTAAGTAAACAAGAAGTAAGCAACTTCTGAAACTCTACAAATGACAGAGACATCTCGTTGTCTGGACAGTCACCCAAAGTTCTTTTATACCATTGGGGCATCCATCTTCAGCCTTCAGGCCAATAGTATCCAGCAGACTTTTCCATGAAGCAGGAAATTTCAAAGACTGTCGGTTACTATCTGCTGTGTCCTGCAGAATGTCTTACAGACTCTTTCATGAAGCAGGAACCCTGAAAGATCATCTCATTTAGGCAAGTTCAGCAGTCCTCTCTCTGTGGGTTCTCTGTGTTCAGTTTATGCTACAGTCCAGGCAAGAGCAGTTTCTTGCTCAAATGGTGATCAAACTCCATAAGGAGCCTCTTCGATGCCCATCTTCCTTTTAAAGTAGATGGTGCTGCCAGGAGCAGACGTGTCTTGATGTGGGAGTGATTTCTTATTAATAAAGAAACTGCCTAGGCCCATTTGATAGGCCAACCCTTAGGTGGGTGGAGTAAACAGAATAGAATGCTGGGATAAAAAAGCTGATTCAGGGAGTCGCCATGATTCTCCCACTCCAGACAGACACAGGTTAAGATCTTCTCTGGTAAGCCACCTCATGGGCTACACAGATTATTAGAAATGGGTTAGTCCAGGTGCGAGAGTTAGCCGTGAAAAGGCTAGATATAATGAGCCAAGCTGTATTTAAAATAAT